TGAAAAATTAATACATTTTCCCTCTTATTCATTGCCTCCTTTCTCTACAAGTGTATGAATTACTTTCATGCTTATTATGTTTAGCCAATACAGTGCTTTCTTTGCCAATGATGGAGTTGTAAATATGCCAGTCTGGGCACCAGGCAGGTCCAAAATGTTGTGCTCCTCTTCTCCATTCTGCTAGCCTGCGTTGCTTCTGCTTTCAGTCCTGCTCCTAGTGGATATTTCTTTCTTTGACCAATGTTTTTTTTTCTTGCATTTCAGATTCTTCCTTCTCCAAAAGCAAGTTTATGCATTTCCCAAGGATAGGGAGCAGGGGAAAGGAAAAGAGCATGGTTCTGCTCCTCTGCTCTTTCAAAATAAGAACCTTGCTCCTGTCTGACATCCAAATAGCTCACTCAGTGCTCTCTGAACAGGTCCATGTCTACTGTCTTTACAGTCTGTGTCTTTTCCCAGAAAAAGGAGAACAGAACTGTTGGGAGAGAGTCCAATACAGCAGGTCTGGAGTCTCTCAGAGACAGGTTTTGGGGGTGGGGCAGGTGCTGAGGAGGTGGAAAGAAGATCCTGTTTTTCAAACTTGTACTTTAAACTCCTTGTGGATTGTGGCAGAGAATGTCTTGATTGCCTTTAAGGTTTTTCACACCTAGAATTCAGTAAAACCCAAATCACCTGAGACTGTGAAGTGATCACGTAGGAGTCATAGTTAGAACATGGTTTCCTATCATTGCCACTGCAAAATCTGTGTATAAACAGATGCAGGTCTTGGGGCAGAAGCTGGGGAGCAAAAGAAACCCGTGGAGATACGGCACCCATTGGGAGGCTCGCTTTCTGCTTTGGGCACGAGCGCCTGCGTTTCCTCGTGTCTGGCAGCCAGCACACAGAAGGCCAACGCCGAGGTTTGAGTTTAAGGATGACCCTTCTTATGGGTTACAGCACTGGAGGGTACCTGATGCAGGCTGGTGTAAAGGGCAATGAGATTACTTCAGGTTGTCAAAATATGTGCTTTACTACAGGGGAGGTATTAACAACATTGTTATCCTGAAGATGAAATCCCAGAACTGCAGAATGCCAGGGGTTGGAAAGGACCGCTGGAGATCATCTAGTCCAGCCCCCCTCTACCCCCAATAAAAACAGGTTCACCTAGAGCAGGTTGAGCAGGAATATGTCTAGGTAAGTTTGGAAAGTCTCCAGAGAAGGAGACAACTTTTCTTGGCAGCCTGTTCCAGTGCTCTGTCATCCTCACAGTAAAGATATTTTTCTTGATGCTCAGATAGAACTTCCTATGTTCTAGTTTGTGCCCATCACCTCCTAAGTCCTATCACTGGGCACCACTGCAAAGAGTCTGGCCCCATCCCCTTGACAGCCACCCTTCAGGTGTTGATAAGATCCCCTCTCAGTCTTCTCTTCTACAGGCTAAACAGCCCCAGGTGTCTCAGCCTTTCCTCTTAAAAGAGATGTTCCAGTCCCCTCATCATCTTTGTAGCCCTCTGAACTCTCTCCAGTAGTTCCCTGTTTCTCAAATGGGTGAACCCAGAACTGGACACAATATGCCAGATGTGGCCTCATTAGGACAGAGTAGAGGGGGAGGAGAACCTCTCTTGACCTGCTGGTCACAATCTTAATCCACCCCAGAATACCATTGGTCTTCTTGTCCACAAGAGCATGCTGCTCACGGTTAACTTCTCATCCACCAGGACTTCCAGGTCCTTCTCCATGGAGCTGCCTTCCAGCAGGTCAACCCCTAACCTCTACTGGTGCATGTGGTCATTTCTTCTCAGGAGCTTATGCTTGCCTATGTAGAACTTCATCAGGTTCCTCTCTGCGCAACTCTCCAGCCTGTGCAGGTCTCGCTGAATGGCAGCACAACCTCCTGGTGTCAGCCACTCCGTCCAGGTTTGTATCATCAGCAGACTCGATGAGGGTACACTCCATCCCTTCATCCAGGTCATTGAGGAAGATATTCAACAAGACTAGACCCAGTACTGGCCCCTGGGGATCACCAGGCTTACAACTAGACCCTGTGCCACTGATCACACCTTCTGAACTCTGTTGTTCAGCCAGTTCTCGGTCCACCTCACTGTCCACTCATCTAACCCACGCTTCTGAAGCTTACCTATGAGGATGCTATAGGAAACCATCAAAAGCCTTGCTGAAGGCAGAGTAGACAACATCCACTGCTCTCCTCTCATCTACCTAGCTCGTCACACCATCATAGAAGGCTATCAGATTGGTCAAACGTGATCGCCCTGTGGCGAGTCCATGCCGACTGCTTGCAATAAGCTTTTCCCTTCACATGCTTAGAGATGACCTCCAGAATGAGCTGTTCCATCACCTTTCCAGGGATGGAGGGGAGGCTGACTAGTCTATAATTTCCTGTCTCCTCCTTGCCCTTTTTTGAAGACTGGAGTGACATTGGCTTTCCATGTTCTCCATGGCCTTTGAAAAATGGAGAGTGGCTTAGCAGTAACATCAGCTGGCTGCCTCAGCACTCATGGGTGGATCCCACAAATGTGTGGGTGTCCAGTTTGCCTAAACGATCTCTAACCTGGTCCTCCTAAGCAATACATTTGCTAACTATCTAACTAGCTTGTGGAACTGCTCCCAAAGCCCAGCTTTGGCAAGTGCTAAAAGACTGTAACACTGCCCCTGACAATGTGATTCTGTACTCAGGCCTTTAAGGTTTAAAAAAAAAAAATAAAAAATGTAATAACCCTGCACCAAATGATTCTCAGGGCAGGTGCACGTCCCTTCCACCCCCCACCTCCCCCTATTTTTTTACTGGGAAGAATGGTTTAAAAAGCCATCATACTGGCTTTTAGGCCTGGGATTCCTGGTGGACATGAAGCTGAGCCAAGGGACGTGCCCTTGGCACAAAACAGGGCTTTTCACTGTGCGCCACCCAGACCTCGCACAGGTTGCTCAGGGAGGTTGTAGCGCCCTTCCTTGAAGATATTCAAAAGCCATCTGGACACAGGCCTAGACAATGAGCTCTAGCTCACCCTGCTTGAGCAGGGAAATCCCTGCCAGGTATAGAATGACCAGCAGAAGTGCAGGAGTACAAGCTCGAGTCCTGCTTCCTGCCCTCTTAGCTCCCGCCCCCTGCGACACCTGGCCTGAAGGGCCTGGCACAGGAAACCTCTCGGAGCCAAAGCCTGCTGCAGCAGGAAGGGCAAGACAGCACGTGATGAAAGGGGAAGGAAGATGAACCCAACTCCTGTCACCTGACAGTTTAAGAGAACTGAAAATTACTTATTACAGACACTGATTTTTCCAAATCTTTTTTTCACTGTAACTTCTTACAAGCTATTCTAAGTTGTCTCTCTCCCTCCTCAATTTAGAGGCAAGGGGAGGCCCCTCCCAGCTCCCTTAACACCTTTCTCCAGCTGTACCACTATTTGCATCTTCAGTAAGGGTGTGTCCCTTCAGATCCTGCACTGGCTGCAGGAGGGGTGGTTCTTTCCAGTCCCTGATCAGAGACGTTCAGTCAGCATGATGAGTGAAGAGCTCAGCACAGTATTAAACCAAATGCTGACTTTAAAACCTTTCTTTAAAGCTCTCCAAGCAAGCAGGTAGCATCCATGTAGATGTTTACAGGAAGTTTCACTAAAAGCAGCAAAACTAACCCTGTTAAAGGAGTGATTAATGGATGCCACCCATCACCAACAGGACTGCAATCACTACACTGTAAAATAAATGGGGTGCAAATTGTTGTTAAAGAAATCTTGCTGGTTCCCCTTTTATTCCCTTTGGTTGCATTAGTACTTTAACAATTACTGAAAGCAATGTCACTTGGACTGCTTGCACACTTCTCACTCCATTACCAATTCCTACAGAGAACATGGGATAGAAAGATCTTAGAGATTAATTTTAATTTTATATGTGCAAGAGACTTGTAGAAATAGTAGATAAACCCATGATTTATTACACTGTACAAAACGAGATTCAGAACAAGCAAGTGCAGAATATAGTACATGATTTATTTGTTCTGTACATTACATATCATTTGTCAAATTTCATTGACAAACCAAAAAAACTTCCCTAATTTATCCTTTACTTTCCTCAGCCAAGCAATTAATTTTGTTCTACAGGATAGAAGAAAATAGCTTTTGGGAGAATTTATCATCTGATTAACTTGGCAGAAGGTGCTTCGGCTCAGCCTGACTTTCAGTGTCTCCCACAGCTTGTAAAGACTTGTCAGGTTAGACCCTCAGCTGGTTGCATAATGTCCTGCCACTGTACAAGACTGAGACAAGCACTTAACTCCAGTCCCACCAGATTTCACTAATGTCTTCTTCTCAGAAGATGAATTAATGCATTTGCATTTGTAGACATACCAAACAGTATAAATGAAGGTTGTAGTCACCATCAAAAAACCCACTTTCCAGTAGCTCCAGATCTATCTCTTGAGCTATGCGAGATGTGCTGAGATAGGTTATATATTTAATAAAGTCCTTAAGAAAAATAAATATTTTTGCATAATGTATGTACAAAGACTGGTTGGTTTCCTTCATTCATAGACTCTGCAACAGATACAACCACAGATGTATTTTTTTCCACTAGCTCACAATAATTAATGCCACCATGGTAACTGATGTGTTAAGAGTCCCAGAGAACATTGGCCTGTTCTTTAAAATAGTAAAAATTATATGGAGGTGTTTTGAAAGCAGTGGCTTAAAGAAAGAAGGATTAACAAAAAACCCTCCTTTGGTCCCTGCAAGAGTAGTTTAACTCTTCCATGAAATTTTCAAAACTCCCCCACATAATTTCAACGAACTATTAAGGTGCCAAAAAAAAAAAAAAAAAAGGATTTAAAGTTGAGATTGAAATGGTCTGTCTTGGACTTGAAAAGAAGTCCACTGCAAATTTCCTGACAATGAAATTTTCTTAATGTGTCTCCTTCTCCTCAACATTTTCTGCAGAAAACCCACATCAAATAAACCTGTCTGATACCTTCCCCCACATCTTTTTTGCTTAAACTACAACAAAACATTACACTTAAATATATTGCACAAAAAGCATAATGTATCCTGCCTGACTCTTCACAAAAATGGCCACATACACAGGAGAACAGTTACTGAACATCTCAAAATTTGAAGAGATCAATAAAATGCTGAGGAGACACTGGCATGAGACAGGTGTTTGGATCACTGGCTGTGCAGGGGTGTCCTGTGTCCTGCAAGATGAAGGAGAAAAAAAAGTAAGTTCTCTTTCCATATCCTAAATCTTCCTCCTCTCCCAATTTAAAAAAAAAAAAAAAAAAGGAAAAGCTCACATATATGTGCATACAACTACATCCACTGAATAAACTGGTAGGAACTTGCTCTTTTTAAGAACTCACCACATCTGTCTCTAAGTGTTTTAGACTAAGTTGTTATGAAAATAGGCCTTTCCACTTTGTGGTAGCACAGGGTAGCTTCATCTTTCAGGAAAAACACTCCAAAACCTTCTCCACCTACCAAAACCAGAAACTGAGTCAGAGCTCATGGAAAAAAAAAAAAGTTTCATATTCCTCATCCATTAACTTTTGGTAAGTGTAATTTTTTTTTTTTTTAAAGCATCTGCTTTGTTGAAGCTAAATTACCTATTTAATAAAAATTTGAAATTAACTAGTATTTTTGGGTGGGAAAAATGAGCTCCTTGCTTTCAAAGTGAAGGGCAGCAGACACTTCCCCCCAAAAAAACCTGAACAGCATGATGCAGCCAGAAAAGTTTTCCTGCCTTCTTTTTTTTTTTATTATTATTTCCCCTCCCCTTTTCGGTTTTGTGTCTCTCCTCCCAGCCCCCTTTTTCACACCTACTTTTCCCCTATATGAAAGCATTGCCTTAAAATAAAGTTAGCACCCAGGGAACTTAGGAGTACAGAGGAGGGACAGGATGGAGAGGCTTTGTCATTACAGATGCACTAAGCCTGCAGTGCTTTCTTTAATATGACAGTAATTTGAACTCGGCACAATTATCCAATTATTTAAGATTCAAATTTATCTTCAAATGAAAACTCTCCACCTTATCAGAACCCTCTAAAGGAGGGAAATGCTAGAGGTGCAATGAAAAGGTCCTAGACAGCTCAATGGAGAGGTTAAACACCTAAATTAATAATGCAGGGCTCAAAAAACTGTCCTCCCCACATTTTAAGGGGTTTCCCTCACTCTTCCACCAGCGTTCATGAATTCACCATGTGGGACAAAAAAACCCTAGAGTAAATACAAGGTAAATAGGGGAGACCACCGCAGTCTTCGTTCCCTTCAGTTCCATGGGAAATGAAGTTACATGCAAATTAGTGAACAGAAGGAGAGAACCTCCAAGTGAGATGCTTTTCCTCCCTTGGAAACTTCCATAAGGAAGGTGCTGTCAAAGACACCACATTCCTGTCCAAAGTCTTTGCAACACTGCAGTGCACTAGGTGACACACACCCTACTCAGCTTTTCCAGTGAGAACTGGTACTTTGTAATATACTACCTGCATTTCCTCATTAAGTTTACAGATGACTACATGCAAATATCACGTGGCAAGACCTCTTCATTCTCCTACTTTTTCAAACAATTACTTTAATGTCACCCCAAAAACAGTTGTTACATTCATGACACAGAGCGAAAAGCAAACAAAAAAAGAAATCAGACAAATAGTTTACAGCCCAGGTAGAACTACCTGTTTGGGGAAGCTGCAGATGAGAAAGAACAGATGACTCAGACCAGAAACGTTAAACCTAACACCTTCCTCTTGAGAGGAGATCTGCAAGGAAGACCCACACCAGGGCAGAAAGCCTCTCAAAGGTACCTGCTAATGAGCTATCACCTTCTTTAGCTATTGCCATGTCAAGGGCATGCAATTGCTTTTCTACTTTCCAGGAAAAAACACCATCAGAATTAGATTCTGGGAAAGAAACTAGGTTCTTTTAGTGCTTGTTAATACTCTTAAGTATTTTAGGCAGAACTTGTTACATTCTATCTGCTTTGCTCTGTGCATCATTGAAATGCTTTTGAAAGGTCTGCTCAGTCAGGAATTAGAGGTCTAATAAAAACCTCAGTAAGATCAGTTCTTGTAGCTTTTAGTTATTAAAAACAACAGAAACAGCAATTTTACAGTGAAAAAAGTGATGAGGACTGAAAATAAGAATCATAACTTTCCTCTAATTGAGTATTCCTCCTTCCAAGAAAAATGTATTTCTCTTGAAATTACATTTAGTCAATAGGGTTCAAATTGTATTTTCAATGCATCTACTTAAAGTAAACTAGAATTCTTTTATATTAACAAGAGAATTCACTACAAGGAATGTTTCCAGGAAAAAGCAGCTAGTTTTCCTCCTCAAATCTCATCATAGCTGAACACTAAGAAACTCCCACATAATCTTTGGAACTACAGTCCTCTGTATGATTTTTCTCATTCAGAAAGCAATGTTATAACTGCCCTACCCCAACTCTCCCAAGACACATGCAGCATGTTTTGGGAGCTTCTTTTCAGAGAGACTTTCATGAAAGCATGTATGACTTCAGCACTGCAAGCGGAGTCAAAGCAATTTTCCTACCCTTGCACTGAAGAAAGTTATCTGGGGTTCATGTTACTCTTTTTAGATTTAAGTACCCAGTTAAATACACCAGGGAGTGCAGAAACAGTCCACAACACCAAGTGCAGGGAAACTTGTTTCTTTGTAAGACGTGGCTGATCTCACTGACATCAGACACCTATCTTCATTACAAACTGAATTCTGGTCCCTAGTTTAGATGGCGTTAATAGGAAAGATGGCAATAAAAAAAAAAAAAATTCTGATGGAAAGTCATCACTACCTTACCTAATAGCTGCTGCTACATTGACGTAGGAAAATACAAACCAAGGAGTATCAAGCAATTGGAAATGAACACGTTATTCACTTTGACATTACTGAACAGTCAGCAATGAAGACAAATGAGACACACATGAAATACCTTGAGTAACAAAGCAAGGTGGTAGTCCTTTGAGATCGTGAAGGAGGAAGCAGGAAGGAGAGCCATAAAGTAAAAGAAGCAGAGTTAAGGTTTATTGAAGCTGAGGTTCATACACCATTTAGAAACACAATTTATTCTTGTGGCAAAACAAGCAACTGGAGAACCAAAACCAGCAAAAGCCCCAAGAAGACTAAAACCAAGTGTGAAGCATATCACTTCTGAGAACAGTTACCCTATTTTTCATAAAGGTTTGTGTACTGAAAGAAGAAAAGGTGTTTCAACCTCTGTGACCATCTCTGCGATAACTGAAATGTGCTAAGGAAATAGTGAGCTAAGAAAATAAAAGACAAGAAAAAAGAAAACACAAAATAAAATTTAAAATTGCAATGTTCCATAGTGAAATAGAAGACATAGTATACACAAAAAGCATTCAGAGGCATCGGTCAGTAATTAATTTGCACTTTTACACTACTGAAATTACATTTTTCTCACTTTCATCATGGCCAAATCTCTTACCAAGAAGTTACTTCTGACAGACAGTCATTCAATATGAAAAGTTTCCTATAATCGTTCCCTCCAACACAGAAGAGTGCAAGATGTTCTGTTATATCACTGTACTACCTACAATGAATTCAGGAGTCTCCTTCTTGTATTTAACATCACTATGGTCACAGATTTTAAACAAATAGAGGAATATAAATGCTGCCTCCTGAAAAGCTCTTAAAGTCTTGTTAAAAGTAATACTAAGATTATTAAAGCATACTGAAAAGTGAAGTCATTTCCCTACTTCAACTAATTCAATTCAGTAGCCATCAGTCCCTTCTTTTGCAATGCCTTCTTTAAAAGGACACAAATGTGCAGCCCCCTCATAATGTAATTTCTGGCAACACATCATTGCTTTCACAAAACGATGAAAATTCTTCTCCTCACTAGCTAGGCCTGAGGTTTGTGACTATTTCAGAACCTTGTTGTTTTGGTTCTTAGAAACTTTTAGCACTCACCATTAAGTTTACCCACAAATAGTTTCTACAGCTTATTTGCATCAAGAATGTCCCTTAGCTTAAATAACTTCACTAAGTAGTCTCACATTTATTCATCCCTTCTGTCTCTGAGAAGAATTTATGGAGAGCAGTCACATTCCTTACTAGCTTTAACAGAATTTAATTTAAAGGAAATTAACCTCTCCTAGTCTTCTTCATGCCCTGATCATGTAAATGCTTTTTCCTCTGCAGCTATTCCAATATTTTACTTTGCTCTTGAATGAGGGGAGGAAAAAAGATGCAATACCAAGAAGTGTTCAGCTCACTGCCTCAAGTTCTTCTGAATGCCTTGAAAGCAAAAGCTGCTCAATTTTTGAAGTATATCATTAAGAGAAGAAATTAAATTTTTACATATTATAAACTACCTGAAAAATCCAGTGCTTCCATTTCTTTCAAGATTCAAACCCTTGCTGCTTTTCCTCTGTAAAGTAACTGATTTCTCTTTTCAAGTTTTGGTTTTTTTTTTTTTTTTTTTAATTTTTTTTTTTTTTTTTTTTTTTTTTTTTTTTTTTTTTCCTACATGCCCAATGGAATTCAGCAGAGTAAGAGCTTCAGCTGAGATCAAAAAATTGTCAATTATAGATACAATTATATGTCAACCACTCATACATATTTAATGATCTGCCTAATCAAGTATGATACTGAAGCTTGAATGAATTGTCAAAGCCTAACAAAATGTTCTGATTAAGAAATATTTTCACCTAGCACAGAATTTTTCTATAACTATTAAATACCTCCTGTTCCACTTCCACCCCCTCCTTAGCTTCTCATTACCCTCTAGAAACCTTGGGAAAAGAAATGGCTGCAAGTGCCTGACCTAGCAGGACTGCTTTTGCCCCCTGTACCTCGAGTGACTAGTGCTGCTTCAGTCCCGCTGTGCTGTGGCCAGAGGGGCTGTTCTCCAGAGCAGCGATTCACCTCCCGCTGTCCCTGCCACCGTGGGTGCCAGTCCTGCAGGAATCAATTTGTTGACCAGCCTGTTTTGGCCTGATGAAATGTTTATTTTAAGACAGGGACAAGGCTTAGATTCCAAGATCTAAAGAAGGAAAGCTACAATGCAGGCTTGCGGAACAATCAGGTTGGGAGGCACCTCAGGAGGTCTCTTGACCAGCCCTCTGCTCAAAGCAGGGTAAACTATGAGATCAGGCCGTGCTTCTCAGATTTATGGATGTGGTATTCCAAATGCAGCCTGATGAGTGCCAAGTGAAAAGGACAATACCTTTCCTCAACCTGCTGACTCAGCCCTGGTTAAAACAGCCAATCCCTGACTCCTGCTACAGAATTTCAGTGCAGAAGCATGAAGTTAATCTCTAACCACAGCATCACTTTAAGACCTGCCCAAGTCTCCAGGATGAGGCAGTCAGCACTGGAATGGTGACCTAGTAGGTACTGCTCATCAGTCCAAACAAAGTACCTTTAGAACTTTACTGTGTTGTGATTCACTAAAAAATACAAAACCACAAATTGGGAGCTGTTATTCCAGCAGCAGACTGGAGTAGTCAAGGTAACAAGACATCTGCCTGCACAGGTTCACTGCCTCTTACTGTCACACATGATCTCTGAAGTTAAACATTTTATTCCAAACCAATTTCAGTCATTCCTAAATTAAAGTGCTTTACTTTCAATTATACCAAGATCAGAATAAAATAAATTTACTGTAGATAGCATTAACCCTTTACACAGCGAAGCCAGGCAATCCAAACAAATCTGATACCAAGGAGGCCCTCCTGCATGCATACCTTTAAAATTTCTGCTTTCAAAGAGAATATTTTACCCTACATAGTGGGCAACATGATGAATACTTACTATCCTGTAGTGAACAGTTCTTAAGTCAATTTGTGAATCTTGACAGGTTCTTCAGCAAATGCCCAGGCTTTTCACAGAAGCCAAATCTGACTACCTGCTTTCCTACTATTAATTTAGCAAAACGTAATAGTACTTGGAAGGGTTCCTATGATATCAAGAACACTCAGCTTGAAGACAACATCATCCAGTAGCATGCCACTTCTACGAAAGCTAGTTTAGCCTGTTAGACAGGCTAGGGTTTTTTTCTATGGAAAATAAAAAGCCTCACACTGACATGCAATTCCACTTGAAACCACAGACAAAAGGACACAGGAGTAACTCATTCTTGGGAATTAGAGTACAAGTATTTTTCAAGTTTTCTCAAACATGTCCTGGTCTGGTCCTTGAGTGGCAAAATTAAAGAAGTCTCACGAACTGGAAAGTTAGATTATGGTGCAACATGAAGCAAAAGCAGGACTATCTGTTCACACAGAAATTAAACAAAAATTCCTACAGACATTAAAATCAACGTAAGACAGATTGTGCTTCATGGTAAACACCAAAATCAATGTGAACTGCATCAGAATAATGTTTCAAACATTCCTCCAAGCTTCATATGGGACAGAAGCAAGAACAGAGAATCACAGAATGGTTTGGGTTGGAAGGGACCTTAAATATCATCTAGTTCTAACCCCCCCTGCCATGGGCAGGGACAACTTCTACCAGACCAGGTTGTGCAAGGCCGCATCCAACCTGGTCTTGAACACATCCAGTGATGGAACACCCACAACTTCCTAGGCAAACTGTTCCAGTGTCTCATCACACTCATAGTGAAGAGCTCCCTTCCTTACATCTAATCGAAATCTCTTTCAGTTAGAATCCATTACCCCTCTTCCTGTCACTACAAGCCCTTGTAAAAAGTCCCTTCCCAGATTTCCTGTAGGCCCCCTTCAGATACTGGAAGGCTGCAGTAAGGTCTCCCTGTACCCTTCTCCTCTCCAGGCTGAACTACTCCACTGTCTCAGCTTGTCCTCACAGAAGAGATGTTCCAGGCCTCTGATGATTTTCATGGCCCTCCTCTGGACCTGCTCCAACAGGTCCACATCCTTCTTGTGTTGGAGGCTCGACAGCTGGACACAGGACTCTGGGTGAGGTGTCAGGGGAGCAGAGTGGAGGAGGAGAATCATCTCCCTCAACCTGCTGGCCACACTTCTTTTGATGCAGCCCAGGATGGGGTTGGCTTTCTGGGCTGCACTTGCACATTGTTGGCTCCCGTTGAGCTTTTCATCAACCAGCACCTCCAAATCTTTCTCCTCTGTATAAAAATGCAGAGTTCTACACCAATATGGTAGGGATACTACAGTAATAAGTTCTCATTAGAGCTGTATTGATTGCCATGCCGTCATTAGAAGAGGGATTTCATAAAAGAGCTAGCTTCATATAAGTTCTTAACAAGTTTGCATAAGATTAAATAGATACAAGACACACAGAGTGCAACTCTTTCCACACGGCACTTTTCCTTGCAGTTCCCAGTACTGAAGTTATTAGATGTCAGTAAGTAAGAATGCTAAAGAACTACTTTGGAATTTAATACTGATTTTATATGGAAGTTTTATACATTATTTAGAAGTTTGATATTACTTGTGCAATCACATTTCACATGAGAAAGCTGACATGACGATCTCAATATTTTTCCTTTCAGATAATCAGAAGTAAGTTCAAAGAGCTGCTGCTGATCATCTACTTTCAAAGCTCTTACCTTCCAAAACAGAATACTACAGTGTCGACAGAAATGCAAGGTGTCCCCGTACTGTTCCTTTGTTGGGTAACATTTCTGAAGTGCAAAGTACATCAGCTTCCAGTCAATGTGACCTTTCTCTGATGGAATCAAATGCCTACAAAACTGGACATAAAATTAACACCTCCCTTTAAAATTGTTAAAGAACTAGTCAAAGATAAAGGACTGGAAAAAAAAGTAGCTAAACCAAAGTTTTGTAACTAGAATTCTTTGAAGTCAATAACATGACATCATGCATCTCTGCAAAGCAGTGAGAGAAATGTAGCCACAAAAAAGCAGAAAGTAAAAGACTAAAAATAGGAGGGTGCATATTTGCCAATAAAAAGTAGGCCATACACAACTGATTTAACTCTTCTCTTGAAATTATTCTAATTAACATTCCATGTAACAAAAGAGTAGTTAGAGCTGTAATTCATTTTATGCTTTAAAAACTCAGGAATTAGATTAAAAAAGATTGTGTATTACAAACAGTGGTTTTCTGTTAAGACAGTAACTATGTATTTAAATAATGCTTTTTCTTTTGTTTTAAAAGTATATACGTGATTATTTTTCACATTTACTTATGATCATTCTAGAAAGACAGCAATAATCAGTGATTGATGTGCTTCTTGAAGACAATCTGCATGTAATGATGATGCACAATGGCTGTTTCTCCCCAGCTTAATACACAGCCAAGGTTTAAGTATTATTTCCAGAAGGCTTCTGTTCCACTCCCTGTAGATTAATGCTAACACATTAAGGGCTTTCTTCACTCAAAAGACAACTCCTTGATGGGGAGGAGAACAACACTGGCTTTCTAACTTCAGGATGCTTAATTTCATAAAGGCTTCCCTGTGTAGTGTTCTCATTTTTTCCAAAAGTGCTCTTCAGATACTGAGTGTGTTTTTGTGGTTGTTTCAATGGTTCAACAAATATACTGCAGAGGACAGGAAAAACAACCTAGCATGATTCTGTAGCTTATTAAGGTAGTACACTTAAACAGAAAAAGCAGAATTTCATACTGGAAAAAAAAATAAATATATTTTTATAATTAATAACCTAGTAAGAAATTGAATGTGAACATCTGGGAACACACTGGAAACACTGTGTACAAGTGTCCTTTACAAGGCACAGGGCTAGCTAATTCTACTGAAATGCTTAAGTGATCTTTTTTCCAGTGTTGCCTTAGTAACTTATTCATGAAGTCTATTCTAAAGCCTTTCACCTCACCAAAATTCTTATTTGGGTCAACTGCACATGAGTTAATTGAACTTCGCTTCTACCTACCCTGTTATAATGCTACTTAATCTGGTAGCCACTGACCAAATGGTACCACTTCAGTCTGTCCAGTTTAAGAATCTGTATTTTCACTTCCTCCAGCTGAGAGCGTATTCAAAGCTCTTCCTCCAGCTCTGATGAAGTAACTTCTATCTCACAGCTTTATTTTCACCTAGTCTGATTTTCTCCCAGCATAGATTATATTACTGTCAGAAAACAAAGACAGTTCTGGAGGAACTCCTAGATAGCTTCAATGCTTTTTATGAGGAAGTAACAGAAAAGCACCATTTTTCTTTTTGTTCTTCGTTTCAAAGTCTCGGTCATTTGTTTTGTTATTTTTTCAGAAGTCCAATTTTGGCTTTACCAGACTGTTCTGAAAGTCTAATGTTGAGTCTAAAAGTTTGAGCAATCTGTTTGCCCACCTTGGTTAGTAAAAAACCACAAAAAACATAACAATGTAGGTACTAAAATTATAAACACCTTAGAAGTCTCCTCTACCACATGTACTGGGAATTGTGCCTTTTAAAAAAAGAATCTTTTAGGAAACCTTTTTTAAAATAATGCAGGGGAACAGCCTGATAGTTATTCTAAACTCACAGGTCTGCTGAATACAGTTTCTAGTATGAACCCCCCAAAACAAGCCATTTCACTATTACTGCACACTGTCACATTTTTATCTCAGAAAGTGGGAGTTCACACTTCATTATTAGTATACCATGTTGTAAAGATAAAGGCCGCATTTACACAATGATAGAGTTTATTACCTGTTTTTCTGCAAAATGGTACTGGCAGAGTTTCTTCCACAATTGCCTGTCTTCACTGAGCATGTACAAAGTTGGGGTCACTTGACCCAGAGTAATAATGTCCCAGCCATCAGAAAACCTGTATAAGATGTTATTCAGCATGTGGAGAGGGAGATCGCTGAGTGTAAGACCGTTGTTGACTTGCTGGAAAGAAGAGTTGAAGACTTTTTAACTACAAAAACTTAACAGTGTGAGGTACAAATAAGACTCTTACTTTAGAGGAATCTCAGGTCTTAGTTCAGTTTGTACAAAACCACTGAGTAATATCTATGGTTAACTCTGTGATACATTGATTACTTGGCTACCATTATTCCCCAACTGCTGTTGTTGAAAATGAAATGACTACCAGCACAGAAGGAGTTACAGGCTGTAGCTTTACAACTTACAGCTTTTCTACTGTTAAAATAAACATATCCTAAATTCTTTATTTAAATTTCAAATAATTTAATAACACTTCTGTTCTAAGAAAATAATTCAGGAGTATACAGTCTTGAAAACTACAATATATTCAATTCCACCCTTGAAAGGTGTGTTAAAACTACAGTTATAACAAATGTATGAACTCATTCTTTATAATTTGTAAGATAACTACAGTTTCTCAACTTTTATTAAGAAACACTGCATGTCAATTTACCTTAAGACAACTAGAATACAGAACATATTACAGAATATAGGACTGAAAAGCAGAAATACAGAATGAAGACAGTCTGAAAATCATCAGCAGAAGAGAGTAGGTTCATTTCTGAAGTGTGGAGATAGTTCCCCACATACATAAATGAGGAATTCCGCAGGGGGTGAAAGGTGAGAGCACTGAGAAAGTTTTCAT